ACGGGACACGGGGCGTGGGGAGAAGGGGACACAGGGGGCTGGGGACAGGGACCCCGCCCGGTGCCGCGGGCGTGTCACGCCAGTTTGGGTCGGACACACCGTCATATTTTGGGTTTTTTCCCTTTTCCCCTTGCAGGCGGCACGGATCAGGTCTCAGGAACCTGCAGAGACCGGCGATCCCATCCCTGGGCAGCTCCGGTTCCAGCAAAGCACAACCTGGGGTCGGGACGTGGTGACCTCCAGCATCTCGTCCCACGCTCACCCAAACGTTCTGCCCAGGCCCTCGGCGGGGACCCGTGGCACACACCTCGGCTGGCACCTCGTGGTGGCACCGGCACGCAGGGAAATCCAAGATATTCCACGGCAAAGGAGCTCCCGCGGGGATCTGGGGCTGCACCTTTAGATGGCGCTGGGAAACCGTGACAACTCCAGCCCCAACACTCCCAAATGCTTGTACATTCACCTGGAGCTGGGGTGTGTGAGGAACGTCTGCTCTCATTTTTATGCCTCAGAAAAAAGCACTGGAATGTAGGGACTCTGGGAGAGCCAAAGCCAAAATAAACAAATGGGGTATCTCCAAGAGAGGATGTCCCAGTGCCCAGGCTGTTCCATCTGATCCTACACCTTGTCGTGCTGCTGCTGTGATTAACCCCTGTTCTGGATCCTCCCTTCTCCCATTTCCACTCCCTCAGCACGTTGCTCCAGTTCAAGATTCTCATGCTCCACACCAGAGGTCACACATCCTGACCCAGGTTTTCCCAGGACTTCCTAACGTTGCAGCTCCAGCTCCCAGAGGGCTGAGCACGGTTACCTGGTGCCATAACCAGTTCCTGAAAGGAGATTCCAACTGGGCAAAACATTCTAAAAGCAGGACTTTATTTACACCAGTAAAAGCCAGTCAGGCCCTTCGTCAGAAGTCACAGGCCTCAGAAAACCAACACAAAGCCCATCAATTCCCCCATTGTTCTTCCAGATGGAAACTGCTCAGAGCTGCCATGTCCTACCAGAGGTGCAGGAAGAAGAACCAGAGGAGGTCACTGCTGCTTCCTTCCTACTTGCCTTCCTTGCGTGTTTTTTCCCCAAATGTGGAACAAAAAGACACCTCATCCAGTTAGTGGAGTGTTGAGTTAGGAGTCTGGCCCAGCTGGAACGCAGGACAACACAGCCCACGTACAGATCTGGAGGGCCCAGGTTAGTCCAAGGACAAAGGAACTCCTACTGGGTACAAGGGGGAGACCAAAGGAACATCAGCCATTGAGGGAATGAAGGGTTGTTGGGGAGCAGGAAGCCTGCAGGCTCAGAGGAGGAACAAGCACTTTAGTCCTGCAGAGGGGCTGTTACAGGAAGGAAAGACAAGGAAGCAAAGACTTCCAGCGAGGAGAAGCAGGACACATGAGCAGCTGGTACAGAACACAGAGAAGATGAAAGGCAGCAGCTCTGCTGATTGGGAAGTGGAAAGTTACACAACAGGCAGGGGGGCTGTCTGAAGAGAGAAATAATGTTTTCTTCTAAATTCATTTTTCTTTCTCCCAACAGTGTTTCTAAAGCTACAGATCTCTGACTTCAGTCACGGGCAGACTTAGGTAACTCCACTGTAGCAGAGCTGGGGTGGTGAGGGCAGTGAGCAGCCCCAGGAGCAGCCCAGGAGGGTGAGGGGAGGAGGGAGACCCCAGCTCCTGCACCCCATCGATGGGCAGGGGGCATCTTCCCACACAGCTCACACCAGCACAGGACAGGCACAGCCAGAGCTTCTTTGCTTACCTTCTACAGGAATAAACAGATCAACCGACCAACCTCGGATCAGATCCTCCCTTGACCTCCCACCACCACCTCAGCAGCTCTTCTGAGCAGTTTCCCTTGACCTCAGCCCTTGCTTTTATTTGTACAACACCTTCCCCAAGTGCTCTAATACCAGGGTATGATAATAGCTGTAATTAACTGGATAGTCAACATCAGATTTTCTTTACAGTCATTTTAATATTCTAAGGGAGGACATCTGCAAGTGTGTGGGAAGGTACTGGGAGATGCTGTCTGTGTGCAAATCAAGGCAGCTTATGGACTTTGGCCCTTCTTTTCTTGCAGGGTTCATCCCTAGCTTCACCCAGAAGGATGATAAAGAAGACCCAGCTAGCAGTTAAAGAATCTCTTGCTCCTCTGCAATAATTAGAGAGCATCAGGGTCCAGATCTACTGATAATTTTGTTTTAGGGCAGTACAGACTTCATTTCAGCCCAGGGCCACCAAAGTTGCCAACAGGTCTCCAAGTCAAGGGGAAACTGAGACCAGGCGTCAGCTGAGCAGCCATGCTGGAATGTAAGTCACACATTCACACTTCCAAACCTCCTAAATCAGCATCCTAAACTCCACAGCCTCCAAAGCTTGGCTGGTTTGTTCAGCTGCTGAGTACTGATGAGTCTCTGTGAGCCCCATCTCCTCATGAGCCTGGTGCTGAGTGCCGGGCAGAGGGTAACACCGAAGCAGCCCTTACAGCAGGCTGTGCGACACGGGCCAGGCAAGAGAGGAAGCTGTGAGCATCTGACAACATCAACATCGTGTGGTACATGAACATTAGTTGAGAATGAAACACAGTCATTTTATAAAGAGCTGTCTGAGACCAGCCAGAACAATGACAAGAAGCTGGTGGAAAGAAAAGTTATTTGGAAGGTCTGTGGAACTCCCCAGACTCCACCACAGGGCAGGCTGAGGAAGGCGTTGAGCAAGTCTGTCAATTATAGTGTTGTTTGTTCTGTAGAACTTGCAGAACAACAAGCTCAGGTCCCTGCTTTGGACACAAGGTAGTAGAGGATGAAGAAAACGACGATCAGCCCAGCTGACACAGAGCAGAGCAGCCTGCGGTTGTCCCTCCCGGAGCGCGCCATGCCGGAGAACCGCTTCACGCTGCCGCTCAGCAGGCCCGTCACACTCAGGAAATCCGAGTCCTGAGCAGGGAAGAAAGTGCAGAGGGAAGCACGATAAGCAGATGAAGATACCCCTGAAGAATCTCCCACTTCCTGGCTGAAACACCTGTGCACAGGGGGCTGCAGAGTCACTGCCTGTCCCTGCACACCCACCGCGTCTCAGGCCCTTCCTGTCCCAGGCTCCGGCTCCAGGAGCAGCACCATTCCCACCATGCCCAAAGGGAGGAAACAGAAAGGACAGGGGAGGGTCTCTTCCAAAACTAAAACAAAACTGCCTCCCCTTTTCTAAAATGGGGTCTACCTGCTGCTGGACTGTTCAATCGTTCCCATGCAGCTTGTTCTGCCAGGAGCAGCTTGTTAACAGGCCCCCCAGCACGGACACAGCTGACATTTCTGGCCATTAGTCCTGTTTCTCCTTCAGCATGTGGCAAACAAGTCTTAAATAGCACAGTTCATTCATTTTTATTTTGACTTCTGATCTGTTCTCCTTCTCCACAAACTACTCGGAACTTATGCTCTTGTTGCTCCTGAAATGCCTCAAAAACTTCTTGGTAACAGCAGCACAATTTCACCAGGAGTCATGGCCTTTCTCCAAAAACTCCTCGGCAGGTAACCCCTCTGCTGCAGGCATCTGCTGCTCTGGCCTTTCCCCTGTGATTTTCCATCAGCAGCCAAAGCTTAAGCAGCAGATGACTCTGGGAAGCAGCTGTGGTGTCCCCGGGGCTGCGGGTGATGGTGGAGCAGGCACCAACTGACCCAGAGCACCAGCTCTGCTGCTCCTGGCAGGAGCCCGGGTGCTACAGTGTGACCCTGACACATCAACAGCAGTACCAACAATCGGAGCAGGGGGGGAACAGGCCCCTCTCCCAGCATCGGCCACCAGAGGCAGCTCTGCAGTCCCAGTCAGGAGCTAATCCCCACCAGTTTATTGCACCAGGCTCTCTCCAGATGCTCAACACCAGCCACAAACTGACATTGGCAACTGCTGAGCCCCCTTGTTTACATACCAAGAAGTCCACTGGAAATGGGTTTAGCTGGTTTGCCCTGGTTTTCCAGACCAACCACTGACTTAGCCAGCTTTGAGCTGCTGTCAGACTTTCAGAGTTTATTGCGCAAAAAAGTTGGGCTTTTTACTTCTTGCTGGTTCCTTACCATGCCATCCAGGTAACGGTTTTGCTCGTCAGCATCTTTGTCAATATCCAGAGCCAGCTACACAGGGGAAGGGAGGAAATGGGAATTAATGAACTTTTCATGTAGAGAGAACCTCTAACCCATCTCGTGCTGGCAGAATTTGAACTGCACACCAGAGAAGTGAGCCACTGCTTCTCTGTCTCTTAAAGATTCTCATTTTGTTACAGGTTGTGGAATTTTTCCAGCTCTGCAGTGCTGAAAATGAAGTCTGACAGTCTGAAATTGTCACATAGAGGGCAGGAGCATTTAAATGCTGGGACTCAACGGCAGGAATTCAGAGTCTTCCCTTCCACAAGGCAAGTCACTGACTTCTGTTAAGCTCTAAATCAAAATATTTTCTGTTAGGAGCAAACTAGCTTTAAGAACACCACGTGCACACAGACACGTGTAGATGTGGTGCTTTCAGACACGGTTTATTTGTGGGCTTGGCAGTTTGCAGGTTAGTGGTTGGGCTTGATGATCTTACAGGCTTTTTCCAACCAAAACGATTCTATGATTTTTCAAAACTAATTTGCCTGAATTTTTATTGACTTTTTTCCTGAGGAGGTGTGCTTAGCAACACCCCTCTGTGCAGCTTTTATGTTTCCCTCTGTGACTGGAACTCCTTCCCCGAGTGCTGTGACAGTGACATCCCTCCCTTCAGATGATGGTGCTGAACCTCAAAAGGAAAGTGGAAATTCATAAAGCCGTCCCTGGCGTTTCACAAGTGACAAGTTAACCAGGGCCAACAACCAAGAGCCACGGCTGCCCGGGAATCCTGCACTGAGCACCGGGCTGCACCTCCCGCAGGAGCAGCCTGGATACGGACGCCCTGTCCCTCCTCCCCCGGCACCTGCGGGGCCTGGGCCACTCACCGACTTCAGCCTGGTG